TACGGGCATTACCATAAATTTACTTACCTCACTCGCATAAAACCGAGCACTCAATCTCAATGCTAACTGACAGAACGATCGAGAACCTAATCAAAATATTTCAAGAATTAATACCGGACTATCACAAATTCACACTGAAATCATCATTAAGACTACCCTTAATCACGATGCTATTTCTTATCAATTTCCACATAATCGGACATCTCCAAATTCGTTCTTTTATCACAAACTAATCACTTAAATTCCCGTTAAACGTTGGCCCTCGGGGTGTGAACAGTAACCTGTGAACAGTACCCCGACGTGAACAGTAACTCAGCTCCCACAAATTGGCCAAAACACTAACTAATCTCACGGGATTTTCCTCCAAAAATCACAGCAATTAATCAAGCTAATTTACACTTAAACAAAGCTTAAAACATGCTCAAAGGCTACCGTAATTTCCCCCATTTTTTCTACCAAAATTCGGACATCACACGGCAGCAAACTAATCAAGCTAATTCTACCTTAATCAAGCTTAAAAACAATGGTTTAAGGCTGCCACATACCAGAATTTTTCAGCTAAAACCGGAGCTGCAAGGGGAAGAGAAGCTGGCGGCAATTTGGAGAAGAAGCTCACGGGTTCTACCCAAAAATTGGAGGAAACAAGAGCAATTAACGTAAACCCAAGCCAATTCAAGGAAAAACAAAGGGATTTAATGGCTGTTTCTTACCCAAAACCGGAGCAAATCACCCCCACAAAGCAGGAGCAGCCAGCGGTGAGGAGCAGAGCAAGGCAGATCCGAAAGCTTCATGCAGGGGGGAGAATTTCTGGGTTCCAATTCAGGTTCTAGAGCAAGAAGGAAGGAGAAATCTCCAAGCTTTCTCACCAATTTTCCAAGGCATGGCTGGGTTCCTCTTTTTTTTTTTCTTTCGGGTGCAGCGGGAAGACAAGAAGAGCAGAAACGGGCTGGAGAAGAAAGAGGAAAAGGGAGAAAAGAAATAAGCCATCCTTATCCAAATTCTCCTCTTTTAAGTCCCTCAAGTTTGGATATTTCGGCTATTAAGCCCAAAATAATATTTTTCTCACACAAAAACCCTTACTTAAATGCTAAAATAGCACAAAATTTTGGGGTATTACATCCACCCCTCCTAAAAAAGAGTTTTGTCCCCAAAACTCAAATTGAGGACCATATCAAGTGGTGAATGGCTTCACACAATCCAAGACAAAACAAATGCCCCACTCACTAACTTTCTATGAATAGACATGGCTTACTATGCTTCCGCTGCACCACTCTGATATCAAATCACAACTAATCTTAAAAAGCAGAACACTAATCACTTAACAAGATTTGCCATCAAATAAGCTACTGGAGGCTGGGGTAATACAGAAAGCACAAGGAATAAAATAAATCCTGCCAAAGCCACAAAAGAACCATTGTGGGGTTACGCTACGAACCCATCACAAGACGAGTTGGCAAAGAATGGCATGGATTTAAAGACAATTACAACAAAATTTCAATTCTATCAAAGATGGATAAGCATCCAATGGATATATAGATCATGAATAATGAACGAGTGCATGGATGCCTTATACATTCTATCACAAAACAAGGTTAACCAGAACTAAGATCATGTTTAACAAAGCAATTGGAATCAAGAAACAAATTTTAGCAATTAACAAGAGTTAAAAGCTAGGACCATCAAAAGACATGTAAGAATCTCAAGAATTGCAACAGAATAAAATCAATGGAAAATATGAATGCTTGGAAGAATATCGGAACACAAGGGTGCAAGGTAGAATGCCTCAAAAATTCAACAACAAAACGGCATTCACCAAGAATCAAGATCAAATTTAACCAAGCAGTCAAAATTGAGAGACAAGAGTTAACCATGAAACAAGCAATAGAATTCCAAAAATTAGGCCCATAAAAGAGATTTCAATAATGACAATGAGAACAAGAATTCAAGAGCAGATATAATCAGGAGATCAAGATCTAGCACCTCAAGTACTAGAATTAATTAACAGAACAAAGCAATGACTGGGATCAAGATGCTTAGAAGATTCATGTCTTCCAATTAAAAGGGCAAACAAAAATCCAAGCAGCCAGATCAAAGAACCATTTCACTTGGAACAAAACTCTAGGGCATCAAGTACTTCAAAGACTACCCCTTCACCTCGTAGCCCATGGAAGCTAAGCAGATTTACAATCAAGTCATCCTAGAGTCAAGTCAAAGCTGAGACATCAAGGATACAGAGATTAACACTTGCAAGAGACAAGAATTGAGGATACCTCGTATAGGTATCTTCTAATAATCATCACCCCTCCTAAAGAGGTGTCCATATGAACAAAAATCAAAATCAAGAAGATCAACAGGTATACCAAAACAAGAACTAGCAGAATATTCAAGATTCAAGCAAGAGCAGTATACAAAATTTGAGCAAGAGCAGAGTCAGAACAAGAATGGTTTTCAAGGACAATTCAACTAGATTCCAAGAACAGTGCAAGGATTAATTCCAGACAAAAATCAAGATAATGAGGATTTCAATAATCATTATCCATTTTCGGATTTCAGTTTCAAGAACAAGCACAAGCAATATCAAGAAAGATTCAAGACGGATTTCAAGAGTTTCAAGCAGTTTCCAAGTGTCAAGAATGTAGAGATTGGCAACAATAGAGAGTTTAACTTTATGACAACTTGCCAATCTTCACAAAAAGACAACAATTACAATTGAATTATCACTGCTCTTGATTAACCAATACAGAAAAATGAGCCACATGAAAAGACCACGAAGCTCCAAATGGAAAAAGTGAAATTTCACTATAAGACTTTCAGAAAGATAAGGAGCAACGGAATTACCAAGTAATCTAGCTCCTAAAACACATCTAGAAAAACACACAACATTTGCTAAAATAGCCCGGAATCTCTTACAATGTAGAGGGTTACCCATCTTCCACGGGTCATATGACAAACAGAACAAATTTCTCAACCAGCTATGTGGTAGAGACCAACAAGATCAATAACAAAAGATCTCTACAACTCCCCAGATTTCACAATTGTGGCAAAAGAGCACACAAAAATTCTATTCACGTAACAAGTCTAAACAAGTGCGGACAATCAGAAAATGACCAAGTTCAAAACAAGGTCTCAAGAACATGGCGGACAAGATTTATCTCATGGATCTACACAGGGTATATAAAGGCAGGAAACAAGAACAATCAGATATCCATCTCATCGAAATGGATGAGAAAATTCAGGCAACATGAATCAGAATCGTCCCTTATATAACCCCATCACTCGTCTCACCACGGGTCTAAAATCCACTGGCTAGCCAAGTTCCAAACAAATCCTAGGTAT